CCCAGCCCTCCCTCCCCCCAAGCCGTGCTGCCAACTGCCCGCCCAGCTGGCCCAGCCCAGCCACAGACAAGGAAGAAGAGAAAAGGAGGGGAGGAGCTCCCACTCACCACACCCAAGACCCAAGAACAGGGAGGAGGCCAGTCTGTCAAATGGCTGAGGGTAGGCAGGGGTGCCAGGTGAGGGAGGCCAGGAGGAAGGCCAGCCCCATGGATTGGGGACCTTGACTATGCACCCAGCCAAGCGGTCTTCATCTCACACCACCTATCAGGAAACAATGTCACCCATTTACAGAGATGCTGGAGAGGCCACACGACCTGTCTTAGGCTATGGAGAGAGCCAGGAGGCTGCCCTTCACCCACAACTTCACTGACGCTCCCAGATGGGCTCCCGAGGCAAGCCAGCTGTGCCCTAACCTTGGACCTGGCACCTGGAGTCCCTCCCCATTTCCTTGGAAAACCCCTGTCCACCCTGCTAGCCTCACTCAGGCCCCCCTTCCCACCCCCTAGAGAGCAAGTTGCTGCCCAAGTGGTAAGCTACAAAGAGGGAGGTGGGGGCCAAGCCTTGTGCTGGGGGAACTGGGTTGCCCTGAGCTGGTATTGAAGGCAGAGTTCTCCAGGAGCACAAGTGTGAGTCTCAGGCTGCATGGGACACATATGCCCACCCGGGTCCTAATGCTACAGGCGCTTGGGGGCAGAGTGAGAGGCCTCTACAGGATCTGTCCTGTCCTCTGTTCTGCTGCAGGATTCTCCTGCCTGGGGCTTGCTCTTCTCCCACTCCACCCAGGGCCACTCCCAGCTATCACCAACCCTAAGCTGGCCAAGTATCCAGTTACTGGTGGTGTTCAGCACCCTCCGTGCAACACTGAATCTGAGCCACAAAACTAACCGGGGCACAAAACTAACCAGTGTGCAGACCTGAGGCTCAGAGAGGTCCAGCAGTTCACCTGGACCACACTGCTAGACAGCGGCTATACCCATCCCATGTCAGCACTTCTTCTGCACTCCACTTCCTCTGGGCAGGGTGGCCTAGGGGCAGACAGGCTACTAGGATGGAAAGTTCAGGCGTGAGTGGGAATGATGGCGAGTGCAGTGCCAGAGAGAAGGCAGGAGGTGCCAACAGCCAGCCGTGACAGCCTAAGCACCACAAGCCCCGTTCCCAGCCCCGGCATGTGCCTGGGGATGGGCTAACAACAGACCACAGGCTCCTCCTTGGCCTACCCACTCCAAGGTCCTCAACACAGGAGGAGGAGCCATGTGGGTCCGTCCACTGACCAGACCACTGCCTTGGGCAGACAGGGCGCCACCTGCTGGTGTGAGCAAAGCTTGTAGACACAAGCTGTCCACCCCAGCCCACCATGCCTAGGCCCTGAGGACACTGATAGTCAGTCTCCCCTTTCCACCCCTCAAGACCTGGGGCCAGGATGCAGCTGACCTGTGACTGGGGTGGGTTCCGGGCCTGGCCTGGCCAGGGTCCCCAGGGTGGTGGCAGGCACCAGAGGGATCTCAGGTGCCCCCTCCTCCTTCCGGCGGTAGACCCGCTGCTCCTCACGGGTGGAGTTGTCAGCCAGTGGTGGCCCCCGCTTGGGTGGAGAGCCCAAGGGACCCTGCACAGCCTGCACATGGGGGGTGCGGCGCGCAGGCATCACCATGGCGACAGGGCGGCGCACGCGCTGCAGAGAGGCAGGCACAATCTCCGGTGGCAGGTGCAGGTACTGGCGCAGGTGGGCGATGCCTTCATTGGTGAGGTACCAGTAAAAGTGGCGCCAGGCAAAGGTCTCGCGGACTAGGCCCCGTGATCGGAGGGAGGCCATGGCACACATGACCTGCAGGTTGGTGACACCGGGCACGTGGGGGTGCAGGCTGCGGGGTCTCCGGTCCTTCTTGGCCACCATCACACCCTCACGGAAGAGCACCTCGTAGATGGCTCGCAGCTGGTCCCGCGGCATGAGCATGCCAGCCACCATGGCTGCCGGAACCCAGCGGGCGGCGCAGGAGTGAGAGCAGCGGGCGGGGCACCCCTGATGAGGCTCCCTCAGCACAGGGTGCGACAGGGACTGGTGGCAGGGAAGGCAAGCTTGAGCTCTAAGCGCGAGGGTGCAAGCTCTGGGCTGTGCAGCTCGTGGCGCCTGGCTCTATGCGATTCCTGCCGGCACTGCCGCCTGCCCGACAGCCTGTGTGAGCCTCCCGCCCTCCCTCCTCCAGGACGCCGGGCCAGCCCCCTCTGACTCAGCAGCACGGCGGCCCCTCCCACCCACAGCCAACCGGGCCCTTACGAGTAGGGGGCACCTCGAGGCAGCAGCCACCCCCACGGTTGCCCTCTCCCCTCCTAGGCCCCACAGCTCTAACATCAGAAATGACATCAGTTTCTAAACACATCCTTCGAGGTCGCTAAGACTGTGTTGGGTAGGATGGGGCAGAAACAGACAAAGAATTTAAAGAAAAAGGTGGCAGAAGGTGAGGGCAGGGGCAGCTAGGGGGGCCCTGACAGGGTAGGAAGAGTCCTCAGCAGGAATGGGAGCTTAGGGTATCCTCGTTTCACAAGGATCTGAAGAGGGTGCTGGGCAGCTGGGAGTTGGGGAGACTTGAGGTCTGAGTGGAAAGACTAGGGCCTGGGGAAGAAGCTGGGGTCTTGGGGCCAAAGTCTGGGGGAAGCAGCTGAGGGCAGCTGCTAGAGCACATGGACAGCCAGGCTGCAGGCACTGTTGCTGCTGTCCATCAGGCAGGCAAAGAGACAGAGCCTCCACCTCCAAATGTTAGGCCGGAGGCAGTGGCCACCCAATTTAACACTTCCTGTTCCAGGCCAGATTAGTGGCGGTCACTACAAGCCCAGGGTACTCTGAGTAGAGCACTGGGTAGGGAGCTCTGACAGGGGCCTCTATCCACCCCAGCCTCCAGGTCAGCTGTTGGAGGCCAGAGACTCTCAGCTGCCATGGGGAATCAAAGTCACCGAGTCCCTTCTGCCCACACAGACTCCCTACTGGGTGCGGCCAGGGTGCCAGCCTGTGTGTCAGAATAGACAGACAGAGGAGAAAGGAAAACCACATCAGGAGAGGGTCAGGGGCCCAAGGGGAAGGAAGAGGAAACTGCCCTGTGAGGTCCTGGGAGTGTGGCCCAGCCACACCCATCATCACTCCCAGCCCCCACAACCGAAAGTCCAACCATGGATATCCCACACAACACCCCAACTCTTCCATGTTGTGCCCCATCAACTCCCACCCAGATCCTGCTCTCCTCAAGCTGACACACCCATTCCCACCAAACACTGCAAACCCGGGAACTGATTATAAATAGGGCGTGGGTGGGGGATCCCGAGGTGGAAGGAGCTGGCCGGCTGGGCTGGCTGGCAGGCAGCCAACAAACGGCGCATGGGGGCGGGTTTATGGGGCCGTCGCCATGGCGCCACGGTGCAGGCTCCAAACACAGCACATCCCCAAAACACACACACACACACACACACACACACACACACACACACACACACACACACACACACACACACACACACACACACACGCATGCGCATATCCACACAGGGCGGCATGGCAGCATGGAAACTCTGAAGGTCCAGCCAACAGTTCCCAAAGCCCTCCTGTGGGGCCAGCTCACTGCAGCGCCACTCTCACCCCCCTCCCCAGACAGGCCCAGGCAGGAAGGGAGCCAGCTCCACGAGGAGACCAGCTAGCTCTAGGACGATGTGGGAAGGGAGGAGGGAAGCCGGCAGCAGCCATGCCTCCCGGCCCAATAGGGCCTGCAGACCCTCCACCCACCAGGACTGTGGCTTTGGGAACCAATGCAAGCTGCGGTCCAGGACTGCCCTCAGGGCAGTGGCCCAGCCCAACCCGTGCCCACAGAAGTTCCTACTCTCTTAGCCTGTCCCTCGTTACCCCTCCCCCCCGCCCACACGCACACATACTGATCTGCACTACTCCCATGTTCACTTCATACATCTATGCCATCTTCCTGGCATGATTCCCTAAAATCCTTCAAATTTCCAAGACTCCCCCCAAACCAACCCACAGCCCCACACTGTCCCAAAATGACCCCAAGCCACACCCAAGGTTCTCTAAGCACTTGGACCTGAGGTCTTTCCTACACAGGGCTGCATGGGTCCCTGGCCCGACTCCTGCCCAGTGGCTAAGCCACCCAGCCATCTTTCCCCATGCCAACCCCAGGCAGGAGAGGGCAGTAGCAGCCAGCTCCAGAGAAAGGGGGTGGGGCTGAATGGGAAACCCCCTCCCTCCCACTAGCAAGGGCGCCTGCAGGCATGGGGGAGGGGAGCAGAATGTTCCTGGTCCACCCAGCCAGCTCCATACACACTGCTGCTGCAACCTCTGTGCACCATTCTCTCTATACCCCCGCCCCCCCCATTGCAGCACACTCCTACACACACACACACACACACACACACACACACACACACAGGCACACCCTCCCACCCCTGTGCCAGGGTCCAGGCGTCCCTTAGGTCCTCAGGCTGGGTGACACCCCCTCCCTGCCCCACCCCCACCCTGAGAGAACAGCCGCAGTAGCTGATTCAGCACTGGAGAGCCAGGGTGTGCAGACTGGGCGGCCCCTCTCCGCCCCCCACTCCAGGCCCCTGTGGGTTTCCAGGGCAACCAGTCAGGACTCTTGGGCAACCCCCAGTTCCCCCCCTCCACCCCAGGACAAAGAGCCGCAGTGTGGACTTGCCAGGGGCCAGTCCATTTGGCGCCTCCACACAGTGATCCCCACAGCCCTGCCCGGCCCCCTTGGACACCAGGTTGCTGGGCAGTAAACTCAAGCGGGGGAGGAAAGGGCTGACCCTGCTGTGAAGGCTGGGTTCTCACACTGTCCCTGTCCCCGCCCAGCAGCCACTGCAGCCCGCCCCGCCCCCCGACACACGCTGCAGGGCTGTGAGTCGCTGGAGCCAGCCCAGGAAGGACCCCGAATCAGGTGGAGCCCCACAGGGGGATAAGCCTAGGGTCTCCAATGGCTCTGGCTCAGCGCCCCCCAGTGTTTCCCCCTGGGCAGCAGACTCTGACCACCACCCTGCAGGGTCTACACCCAGTTAGAGGTCACGGCATGTTCCGCATCCCCCAGCTAGGGCCCAGCCCCAGTCCGCACCTTTGAGGGAGCTGATCTCGTGCTGGATGGCTCTCGAGGGGTCCATGTCTGCACCTAGGATTGAGAGTGGTGCTGCTGCCGCCAGGCAGAGTCCAGCCCTGCACCACACTGCCCAGGACAGCGCCGCAGCCTGGGGGAGGAGCCCAGAGGTACGGGGCCGGGCTTGCTGGCCTGGGGCGGGGCTTCAACTGATCAATGCGTTGGACAAGGCTGCCCCAGGCGCATGCTCCCGGCCATGCACCGCCCTAGCCCTCCTTCCCAGCCCACTTTTCTGGGGCATGCGACCCCAGCTAGATGCTGTCAGACCGTCAGGCCACCAAGCTTGTTCCAGGTACACTAAGACAGCCCACCCCCCAGTCTCTGAGGCCAGGAGCCACACTCGAAATGACTGTCCCTGTCCTCAAAGCCCCCTCCACCACCCACTTCCTGCAGGAAACATCCAACCATCAGAGCCTCCCAATCCACACCCCCTCCAGGGCGGGAGTTGGACCACCTAGATAGTGACCTAGGATCCAGCACTAGCCATGATTCACAAAGAGGAGAAGCAGCCTCTTCCCCACCTCCCACAAACCAGTGGTTGTTCCCCTTCAACGGACCCTCTCCCCTCAGGCCACAGCCCTTATCCACCAATGAGCTCCTCTGGGTCATCTCCCTGGTCTTGTGGCTCCAGATGCTATACTCTGACTCCCAAGGAGACATGTGCCCCCAGGTTCCAACCTGTTTCCAGCCTCTGCCTCTCCCACTCAGCAAATCCCCACAGGCCGCCTTAGGATGCCTTATCTTCCCAGCACTGTGAATGTTCCTTATCCACCATTCAATGGTGTAGACCAAAAACTCTGGGGTCAACGCCAGCCCCACAGTTTCTGTTGGCTCCACCTCCCACTTGCCACCATCTACACTGCCACTAGGATGGATGACACAGCAGTTCCATCTCATCCCCAATCCCCCTACACCCACCACCAGGAACCCTTGGCAGCAGCTCTGATCCAATCCCCTTGTGGCTGATGGGTCAGCCTCCCCCAGCAGGTAGGAGTGGACTGTGTGTCACTGCCTGCTTCCTGGGGAGTATGTGGGCACTGGCAAGGTGAGATCAGCTCTACCTCACTCACTGGGCCACAGGAAGTAATAGAGGAACTAGTGGCCCATCCCCATACATAGCCACCTTTCAGTGTCAGGTCCAGGACTGCACTCAACCCTGGTCCTCTGTGCTAGAGAGTAGGGCTGGGATGACCTCCATGAGAAGTGGCCAGCCTGCCTCAGTCTCCTGCCAGCCTCTACCTCTGTCCTCATCCAAAAGCCCTCTCCCCACCTCTCAGGTCCTACCCTGCCTGGCCAGGCCACCTCTTTCAGGTGTCCATCTCCTCTGCAGTCAAGTCCTCTGTATGCCAGGTTGGGGATAGAATGGTGGGTGTGATGATGGCACAGGAGCAAGATGGCAGCACTCATAGGTGCAGGCTAACATGTAGAATAGAAGCCAGGTTCCAACACTACCTGGGCATAAAGCCCAGCAGTGCTAGGGTCTCATCTCCCCTACCCTCCCTGGACTTGGCCAGTTCAACGCATGCAGGCAGGGTGCTGTGGGAGGGCATCTCAGAAAATACCAGGTGCCAAACTTGAGTTAAATGGTAAAGTGAGAAATTTTAAAAGAAAGTTATAAATCCTTACCCCTAAGTTCCTAATTACTTTTTACTAAGCTGCTTCTGGATAAACTTAAATTTGGCCTGCAAGTAAATAGTATTTCCTTACTAAACCTGAAATGAAAATGATAGATACTTATAAACAGATCTAAAAAGCTCAAACATTGGCCAGGTACAGTGGCTCACACCTGTAATTTCAGCACTTTGGGAGGCCAAGGGGGAAG